TTGACATTGAAGGCTTACTCTCGCTGCGGTGTGCCAAATGCCAAGCAGTTTGAAATCTGTCCAGTCATGACTTAGTTACAAGCCGGACTGGATTTCACCCATCATCGGTTACCCACGGTATATATTCCGTACATACTACATATATAATGTAGTATGTACGGAATATATACCGTGTAACCGATGATGATGGGTTTTATGCCCGTTCAACAGTATTTAAGTAAAAATCATTATTATAACCAGAATAGATGGGAAATTACAAAGAAAACATAAAAATCACAAAGTGTATGTGGTTTTTTCCAGATTTATTTTGCATTAATAAAAGTACACTAAATATTTTATATATAGCAGTTGAAATAGCAACGGGGCCTCATGCAGTGCCTATTTAGCTATAACCTTTACAATGTTGGAACAAAACTTGTTAATTATAGACTTCTCAAACAATATAGATGTACATAGGAGCAGACTTCAAAATCTTCTGCTATACTGTTGGCTGACAAACTTTAAATTTCCATCATGATATCCCCAAAAATGATAATTCTAAATTAACAGTTCCGAAAAAATAGAATTAAGAAATTCAGCAGGGTAAAAATCAATATTCAAATTTGTTCAATTATTTTTGGTTTTGTCTCGAAATCAATACTAGATCAATACTGAACCAGTAATTACATCACAAACTGTAACCATGGCAATACATGTACATAATATTATATAACATACTGTTAAACTGCAGTATGAGTTCATAGAACTTAGGCTTGCACAGTTTAGCAAGTGGCTTCACACTCTCATCACATTGGTTGGTACGTTGGTGGTTAGACTATAACATTGAATTCAACAAGCCGGCATGATTTTCTAACATTTTCGATAAAAATTCGATAAAATTTTCGATTTAAACAATATACACTACTTATGTAAATGGCTATTACAACACCTACATACATACATACAACATTTACCAAGATCTAATCCTAAAGATATATGAAAACATGGGAAAACTCGTATACAGTAACTCACTAATAGAGAGTTATACATACAGTACAACCTCGACAGAGTGACCACCCTTTGGGAGGCAAAGATTTTGGCTGTTGCCATGAGGTATTGCTGTAGAGAGGTCCGTATACACTGTGATATCTTACTTTTTGGTAAAACTTTAAACTGTTATAAAGAGATAGTTGATCTACAGAGGGTCACTGTGTACAGGTTTCACAGTATATAAACCAAGATGTACCTCTTTGCCATTGACAGACTTTCAACGATTATTGATCTTAAAGGACCTGTCCATTATGCCTCAGAAATGCTTTTATTTCTAATTCTCGAAAGCTTTTTTATTTTGGTGTACTTTTACAGTATCCAAAAAGTTACGCACTGACCAATTGCCAGAACCAGTATTTTATGACAATATGTACAATTATAGTTATTTAGTATTATGTATGAAAGTCAAAATACAACTTTGTTAACATGTTACTTCTTTATGAAAAATTATTTCAGCATTCTTTTGCTACTTTCTTGAAGTAATAAGGACCTAACATTCTCTAAAACCATTATCTAAACATTTTAAAATTTATGTTTGCCCTTTCTAAAGAAGTTACAATTTATTTATTTCTGAGGCATAATGTGCCTTAGAATCATTTCCAAAATTTTGATGTTTTACTCGAAAATTTAATAACAACAGTCAAACTTAAAACATCAAGAAAACAATTGTTTGTTAACATAAAAGACTTTAAAGGAACTCCATTGAGGTAAAAAAGACCAAAAACAAAATTTGAATTTCTACATAGATCAGCTAGGAGGCTTAAAACAGAGAGATTTGCAAACGATAATATATAATTACAAATTATACTAAAAAATAACTGAAAATCGTATTTTTGTGCCATTCTACGTCCATTTTGAGTGAAAATCATTGCAATGCTTTTCGATTTTGGACCAATTTAATCATTCTGGAAAAAAGGAGTTAGCGAAAGATTTGAAATATTGCACACAGGTAATTGTACATTAAATGGAACATTAATCTCGAAAAAATATTTTCTTTCCGCAAATTTTAAAAAACCTCAGTGGAGTCCCTTTAAAGTACACATGTCTGTTTAGTAAATAATCTTGTTGTTCTTCTTCTTGTTAAACAAACTACTCTAGTAATCTGTAAACTGCGAAAAAATAACTATCCCATTTGCAACCATGTATACAAGCTAAGTTCTGCCACTTCCTAAATGAAACAAGCCAATATATCATATTTTTCTTTAAATAAAAGATCATTCCTATGTAAAATTATATGAACACATAATGGGCATATATAACTGAGGGAAAGCTATATAGCTAACCAATGGACCATTACAACACTCAAGAAACATAAAGAACAATATATAGCTAACCAATGGACCATGACCCATATTAGACACACATTTATTTGCTAAATAACTGTATATAGCTTACCAATGGACCATAACCAAACTCAAGAGATTCAGAACTATTTAATTTCATAAAGCTTACCAATGGACCATAACCACACTCAAGATATGCATAGCTATATAAATTTTTAAAGCTTACCAATGGACCATGACTGCATTTTTGAGGCATATTGCTAAATAACTATATAGCTTACCAATGGAACATAACCACAATTGGGAGGCATATTGCTAAATAACTATATAGCTTACCAATGGACCATAACCACATTTGGGAGGCATATTGCTTAATAACTACATGTATATAGCTTACCAATGGACCATAACCACATTTGAAAGGCATATTGCTAAATAACTATATAGCTTACCAATGGACCATATCCAAATTTGGGAGGCACATGATAAATAACTATATAGTTACCAAATGAACCATAACCACATTTGGGAGGCATATTGATAAATATCTATATAGCTACTAATGGACCATAACCATATTTGGGAGGCATATTGCTAAATAACTATATAGCCTACCAATGGACCATAACCACAATTGGGAGGCATATTGCTAAATAACTATATAGCTTACCAATGGACCATAACCACAATTGCGAGGCATATCGCTAAATAACTATATAGCTTACCAATGGACCATAACAATATTTGGGAGGTATATTGCTTAATAACTATATAGCTAACCAATGGACCATAACCATATTTTGGGAGCATATTGCTTCTAACTAGATAGGCTTACATTGACCGATAAAGACACTCTAGAGGCACTTTGCTAAATAAGACTTAAGCTAAGCCATATTTTACCTATGGTACATCACCAGACTCGAAAAACTTAATTGCGAAAAAAACAAACTTATTTCTGTACAAGGCAATCAACAACCAGTTAATAATCATTATTATTAGCACATCCAACTACCTATAGATATACACAATTCCATTTAGGGTCATATATAAAATACATGGTTAACTTCTACATGTAGTTACAAAAATAAAACACAAGCATCGTTTATTCACACAATTCAATTTACACAATTGATTCATTGATATAAGTTAAATAGCATATGAGCATTACACATATGTATAATTTATGTTCAATATAATAACGCAATGTTTGAAAGTAACATTTACCAAACACAACATCTAAATTGAAAACACTGTACAGTCCACAACCACCTTTGAACAGTCAAAAAAATTTATCGATTTTAAAAAGAACCATTAAAACAAGTTACAGTTAACCAAAACTGGCAATTAAATACTACATGTATGTTACTCAAAAATAGAATGGCAAGAAAAAAATATACAGTTTCAACAGTACATGATTATTATAATCGTTTTGTTTCAGAATTTAAAAAGGGAGGTAATAAAATACAACATTTAGAAACATGATTACTTCCCTTGCAAGTCATAAACAAATATGAGCCGTGTCATGACAAAACCAACATAATGGGTTTGCGACCAGCATGGATCCAGATCAGCCTGCGCATCCGTGCAGTCTGATCAGGATCCATGCTGTTCGCTTACAACCCTAAATCAAGTAGAGAAACTGATAGCGAACAGCATGGATCCTGATCAGACTGCGCGGATGCGCAGGCTGGTCTGGATCCATGCTGGTCGCAAACCCATTATGTTGGTTTTGTCATGACATGGCTCATATATTTTCTTGCAAATCAAAAACAAATATCTCTAATAGTGTAACAGCACTGTAAGATGTAACAAAATATTTGAACATTTTTTACTCTATTAAAAATATATGCTGTTTACGTACCAAAAGAACCCTTCTTACCGAAAGTATATAAAAACTCCACACTGTTGTATGTGCTATAGCAAACTCCCCCTCTCAGTACCAACTTTGTATGTAAATATACAAAACACAAAAGATACAAATATAAAGCAAAAAATCCAAGCAGTCTACAACTTTACCCCCTAACCTGCTGGAACCATAAGTGATTATTGTCTAGATTACAGCTAGGCCAGTCTGCATGAGAGCTCAGTCTGACCAGGCTCTATACTGTTGGTAGCTCTACTTTTTTGTGTTTTCATAGTAAAATCCTTAAAACTTTGAAAAGACTATTCCATATTGATTCGGGGGCAAATCCATTACACAAATCCTGCACATTAAACACAAATCCTGCACATCAAAGGACAAGACTTACAGGTGCTAGCAGCACTAACATATTGTTTTGGCCACAAGTGAAGAGTTCAGTCAGCTTGCTCTACTGAGCAGTATGACAGTACTCTATTCTGTGTTGAATGCTCAGTTTATATGGAAACCCCTCCCACTCACACAATGGACTGTGCCGAATTTCAAAGCAGGACATGTCCATTATATAAATTCAGCAAGGGTTAAGTGCAAACTGCACATTTTGTTTATTTAATGATCGATTGATCAATCAATCAATCAATCATTCAATCAACCAAAGTATCGATCAAAGTTCAGCCTATTACATAATTTTACTCACAACAAAATGTTCATATTAAGCAAGTGCTAAGAGGAGTTCATGCAGCATGCAAACCAAATTTTGTATATTTTTACTACATATTTTTTTATCTTTTATTTTCTGGGTTTTTTTTGGGTTTTTTTTTTACTAAAAATTCTTTCTTCAATTTTTTACTTTATTAGATTAAAGGATAAAATAAAGTATAGAAAAATTTATTAATACTAGATAAAAGGATAAAATAAAGTATATGGAATATTTTATTCGATTTAGTGACTTTGACTTAAACAAAAATAACAATAACTGGAACAATACATAGACTGCAGATATTAAATTTTACCACTGAAGAAGCGTTTATAGTTTAGTGTAAGGTAAAAATAATTTTCAAGTCAAAGAATATAGGTCAGCCTTATCAAGAATATATTCAAATAAAGAATGTGCATTACTCAATTATCCATACTGAGGCTATCTTTGCATTCTGTATAATTTCATCACATTTCCTAGATTTTTTGTATTGTCCAACGCATCAAAACAACAAACACTTCCCATTTTCGAAAGAGGGCATATATAAATGACTAGTGTCTTAAACAAAATTTCATGTAAATAAAATAAGTAAGAGAAGTTTTGTTTTTTTTTGTTGTTTTCTTAAATAGAAAATAAAAACAAAGGGAGGTAATTTTGTATATATCAAGATCACTCAGTAGTCCTCTTCCAGCAAAAGTTATCACCCTTGGACAGGGCAGACTAGGACAAACTTGTACTTGGTTTTAAGTCAGCTTTGAGATGCAATTTCAAAAAATCATGGGCAGAAGCCAAGGGCGTAGTTAAAAGTTTATCCAACGTAAGAATAGAGCATCAATGGTCGAGTTGATCGGTGATAAACTTGTTGATAATGTCTGGAACTGTGGCATCAAACCCACCAACATCTAACATTCCTGGAGCCTTAGCGAAATCCAACCTTGGTGCATTCAAACCGCACAGTATCATTCTGAAATAGAAATAAATCTCAAATTTCTTTATCAATTACAATGCCTCACAGTGCAACTCTCTAACATCCCACCATCACAGCAAAGGTCATATGGCAATTTTCCAGCTTTGCTGATAGAGGAAGGCCCCAAAGTGAATTATTTCTGGCACAAACATGCCGGAGTAGAACCATGTACTTCTACAGTTTCCTACAAAAATACTTCTTGGCCAATTACCTGAACCATCTAACATCCTCTAAAACCATTATTTAAACATTATTAAATTCATGTTTACACTTTCTAAAAATAAGAAATTTTATTCATTTCTGAGGCATAATGTGCCTTTAAAAAATACCCACAAAAATCCAGGAGAAAATTTAAATGTATTATACAATATATGACAGAATAAACTATATATATCACCAAACTTTTATATGGTTACAAAGTTTCTTGCAAGATTAAGGGAGATATTAGCATATTTTCACACGTATATGAGCCCTGTCACGACAAAACCAACATAATGGGTTTGCGACCAGCATGGATCCAGACCAGCCTGTGTATCCGCGCAGTCTGATCAGGATCCATGCTGTTCGCTATCAGTTTCTTTACTTGTTATAGGGTTTGTAAGCAAACAGCATGGATCCTGGTCTGGATCCATGCTGGTGGCAAACCCATTATGTTGGTTTTGTCATGACGCGGCTCATATAAAGTTCATATATGGATAAGAAGTACGTTATGCTGATAAAATCACTTTTATAGATTTACCATTGCATCTTTATCATAATTTTCCATAGAAATTGTAAAAAGAAATCATTCAAGTTTAACTTTGTTCATTTTCTTTGATAAAAAATAAAGGTTCTACATGTATCTACATTATAGTAAACAAGAGGGCCATGATGGCCCTGAGGTCGCTCACCTGTATATAGGCCCCCCCCCCCAACCCCCCCCCCCCCCAACGTTGCAGAGCCAATTTAACCCAAGGGCTTTTATTTGCACAAACTTGGTAGACACCCATAAGAAGATGTTTCATGCTAAACATTTAAGCTCTAGCTCATTGGGCTTTTAAAAGAAGATTTTATTTTAAGTTTTTACTATACACATATAGTTAAAAACAATGACACCCCTGGGGCCGGGCCAGTTTTGACCCCAGGGCTTTTATTTGAACAAACTTTGTAAACACTTACTAGAAGATGTTTCATGCTTAATATCTAAACTCTAGGGTTTTTTCAATGAAGATTTAAAGTTTTTGCTAAACACATATAAAGAAAATCAATGACCCCCGGGGCGGGGCCAATTTTGACCCCTGGGCTTGTATTTGAACAAACTTGGTAGACACCTATTAGAACATGTTTGATGCTCAATATCTTAGCCATAGCTCTTTGAGTTCTTTAAAAGGAGATTTTTTAAAGTTTTTACTATATGAATATAGGGAAAATCAATGACCCCCCGGGGCGGGGCCAATTTTCACCCCAGGGCTTTTATTTGAACAAACTTGGTAGACACCCATTAGAACATGTTTCATGCTAAATATCTTAGCTCTAGCTCTTTGGGTTCTTTAAAAGAAGATTTTTTAAGTTTTTACTATATGCATATAGGGAAAATCAATGACCCCCGGGGCGGGGCCAATTTTGACCCCAGGGATTTTATTTGAACAAACTTGGTAGACACCCATTAGAAGATGTTTCATGCTAAACATTTAAGCTCTAGCTCATTGGGCTTTTTAAAAGAAGATTTTTTTTTAAGTTTTTACTATATCTAAGCTCTAGCTCTTGGAGTTCTTTAAAAGAAGATTTTTGGCTTGCAGCCACGGCTGCAAGCCATTTCATATGGAAAACTTGTTCCGGTTAGGTGGTTTCCTGCTTACATCTGTTGGTGCATGATGAAACAAGAAACCAGCTGCAATCGTGCCAATCGCAACTTTTCGGCCTTTTCCGTCACTCTTCAGATTAATGATAATAGCCGATGTAGTTCCGATTGCAATCGTGACAATTCGGGCAATTCCGTCATACTGCGGAATCAGACGAAGTAATATTACGGAAATCTAAGCTATTTTAGTTACTTCGGTAATCCCAGTTTGTTTATATAAATAGGATTTCTAATTTTACTTGATTTATTGGTTTAAACCGTAATAAATTATAAACGAAATTGTTCCGTTTCAATTGTTTTTCAAGACGCAAAAGTTAGTTTATTTTATAATTGTTTTTTGTCTGTATTAGTTTATACAATAGAGAATGGTGACTGCAGTCTGTAGTAGTATTCCGTCTTCAAAGATCGAGTTATATTTAGATCCAACTTCTTGGTGAGGTAATCTAAAAATAGCCCATGCATATCATTAACCTTGCCACCTAGCGCATCGTCTATAAATTTGTGATCGTGTAACATACTGTAAAACACTTATTTTTCGCGAGAACCTTATTTCGTGCATTTGAGGCAAAATGTCCAAAATAATTATTTCGCGTCAACATGAATTCGCGTCTTCCCGAAAAATTTGAAACCGGAAACCAGATGTCATTCGGATATTTTCTGTCCTGTCCGTTTACTAACTTTGCGTCGTTTATTGTGCGACGAATGCATTTATAACTGTATCGATTTTTCTGATATCTTGCTAATCTTCTTGTTTAGTGAAACCGTCTGTCTAAAAATGTGTCAATAAAGTTTGATAATTATTTGATATGTGTTCACTGTGTTTGTCATGTATTACAGATTAGCCATTCAAAGGCATGCAGACGAATATCAATTACACGGTACTGTAATTTGCCTAACCTGTAGTAAACGATTATGTTTACCCTCCGGCTTAAACTGTAGTACAATACAATAAGATACAATAAATAGATATGTTACAAACAACTCGCAGGTGCTAAATTATTTGTACCAAATACCGAAACAGTTATTCTGAAAATCGTATTTTCTGTTGTTTTTTTTTCCATGTATGCTGCAACACTTGAATAGCTACATGATTTAAGTAGAACTGGTTCTGATACTTTCCCGCAGATATATATCCATATGAAAGCATTTTCGGATAGTGTTCATTTTCGGACAAGTGTATAGACAAAGTGAAATATTCGCGAGAAATATGAATTCGCGTCTTAGAAAACTCGCGAATATTAACGAAAATAAATTTCTCGCGAATAATAAGTGTTTTACAGTAGTTGATACATGCTTATTAATTGGTACCACGTAACGAAGTATTTTAGTGCAATTACTTGTCTATAAAGCAAAGGAATGATTTCACTGCGAAAAGACGAAATGAAATGTGCACACTTGTTTTCCTTCAGTATCACGTTAGTATTTTTACGATTGATCATTATCTTTATTAGATTTATACAATAGAGAATAGATTTCAAATCGTTTTGACAAAAAATATTCGGTTTTCAAAAAAAAAAAACTAAATAAACCCTTTATGATAAACAAATGCCGTAATTCAAAAAAAAAAAATGTGATAATAAATTGAAACCAAAAAAAAAAAAAATTTTAAAGGGTTTGGATGAAGACACAACTGTGCAAGCCTTTCCTTTTAAAGAGAAACTTATTAAGTTTTTACTATATGCATATAGGGAAAATCAATGACCCCCGGGGCGGGGCCAATTTTCACCCCAGGGCTTTTATTTGAACAAACTTGGTAGACACCCATTAGAACATGTTTCATGCTAAATATCTTAGCTCTAGCTCTTTGGGTTCTTTAAAAGAAGATTTTTTAAGTTTTTACTATATGCATATAGGGAAAATCAATGACCCCCCGGGGCGGGGCCAATTTTGACCCCAGGGCTTTTATTTGAACAAACTTGGTAGACACTCACTAGAAGATGTTTCATGCCAAATATCTAAGCTCTAGCTCTTATGGTTTTTTCAAAGAAGATATTTAAAGTTTTTTCTTTAGGTTGCCATGGCAACCAGAGTTTTGCATGGAATTAAATTCTTTGAACAATTTTTAAAGGTGACCACCAAAGGAACATTCCTGTGAAGTTTGGATGAAATTGGCTTAGTGGTTTATGAGGAGATGTCATTTAAAGTAAAAGTTTACGGACGGACGGACGGACGCCGGACGGACGCCGGACGAAAAGCGATCACAAAAGCTCACCCTGTCACTTTGTGACAGGTGAGCTAAAAAAACAGATCATCCATCTTCTTTTGTACATTTCTGTAGTTCTTAGAAATTATTTAATTACAGTAGCTTGAGCATAATTATAATTTATAGTAAACTCCTCTTATAATGATAGCCAAAGGACCATCGTATTTATATTGTTATATCCAGATATTGTTATATCCAAGAGGCAATCAATTTGATAACAAGAGTCGGGAACTCCCCAAGGCAACATCATAAAGCTTATAAAGGATATTGAATGAGTGTAAGTTTAAAACTAAATTATTTTTTTTAACTCCTTCAATAAAATAATATGCTCACCTAATTTATTGAATGAACTGAATAAAATTATATTATGCGAACATCTGGCATAATATTATTTCATCCAACAAGTTCAATAAATTCAGTAATGAACCTACACGAATATAATATTCTATTTATCACATACCCAAAATAAAGACTATGAAATGAAAAAGAATAATTTTCTCATTGATGCGCCTATAGTGCAACGCTAACATTTAGCAAGTCTGTACTCTTTGTTTGTATAACGCACATGATGTCAAACCAAAATATATGCACGACCGTGCAATACCATAGTTACGGAGTCGCAAAAGGGGCACAGGTATGTGAAAAGTAGAATTTACTGTATTTTTATGATATCTAAGAAGTTTTTATAAATAACCAAGTGTAGTGAAAAACTGAACATACTTTGTATCGGGGAGATTCATTTTGTTTCGATATTCTTTCAGTCTATCCTCGGCTTTCACCTCGCCATGTGTTTCTGTCCCGTCAGATAGCAATAAAAACACATCATACTTTCTGTTCTTCTCCAGAGCCCATGTGATTGGTGCTGCTGGGTCACATGCCAGATTTGGTACCTTAAGATACAGCATTTGAAATAATTTGAGCCGCATCACGACAAAACCAACATAGTGCGTTTGCGACCAGCATGGATCCAGACCAGCCTGCGCATCCGTGCAGTCTGATCAGGATCCATGCTGTTCCCTATCAGTTGCTCCTCTTGTAATAGAGTTGGTAAGCGATCAGCATGGATCCTGATCAGACGGTGCAAATGCAAAGGCTTGCCTGGATCAATGCTGGTTGCAAATACATTACGTTGGTTTTGTCTTGACGTGGCTCAATTTTATACCTCAGTTAATTTAAGAAGTATTTAGTACAACAGACTCAATAATGATTTCATCACTTAATGCCAAGTTGTACAGCAATGAATTTTATTAGTGAGATATGATTAATACCACACACATGGCAAAAACCAAAAATACATCGTTTTTCTTTTAAAAAATATAAAAAAAAATATCACACTTTTGTTGGAAATTTAACAAAAATGAAGCTATAAGTATGTATACATATACATATAATCACAATGAAGTTTTATAAAAAAATCTTTAGTTTTTTTTGGTTGCCAAACAAAATAAAAAAACAACAAACAAAACAAACAAACTGAAACACATCAAAAAGGATTCCAGTTTTAAAGCATATTGTTCTAAAGTCTACCATTAACCATTTTATATACATGTAACTTTAATGTAGATTTTCTTAAATCTTAGTGTTAAGTTTCAAAATTCTTTCACATACCTTCCACAGCATATTCTTACTTATCTAATATACATGTTTATAGTAGTTTACATACAAAACAATATAGGTCATATAGAGTCTTTCCAGCTTTACTGGTGGAGGAAGACCTCAGGTGTCCCCTTTGAGCATCATTTCAAGCACAAACAGGTGCCCGAGTAGAACCATTCACTTTCTGAAAAATATTTGGCCAGCTTTCTCATATGAAAGAATCCGACTTGAACCTTCAGTGGAGAGAGGTAAGGGATTTGAAGTCAATCCCAATCAAATATGATAATAATTAAGTATCATAATTGAGCCATGCCGTGACAAAACCAACACAATGGGTTTACGACCAGCATGGATCCAGACCAGCCTGTGCATCTGTGCAGTCTGATCAGGATCCATGCTGTTTGCTTACCAACTCTATTACAAGTAGAGAAACTGATAGCGAACAGCATGGATCCTGATCAGACTGCGCGGATGCGCAGGCTAGTCTGGATCCATGTTGGTCGCAAACCCATTATGCTGGTTTTGTCATGACGCGGCTCAATTATTAAAACAATGAACTATCTTACTGGTGCAGCTCTCTGGCCAATCTCGGCTATGATATTCTCCATCTCTTTGGGAAAGTTTAAGTGGGTAAGTGACGCGGTGAAGAAGCCTAGATCTGCCGACTTTTCCTTCTTCTTGTAGAAGGTCGCCATCAATGCCATGACCTCTAGTGCAGATATAGAGGGCGTGCCCCTAATACCTTTACCAAGTTCGCTGACGGACGCTTTAACGGCAATCAAATATCTCTTTCCTGTACATGGTAGATTCTTCTACAAATAAACAAAATATAAACACCAGATGAAACACAAGAGAAAGAAAAGCCAGTTGACTTATAATTTTTATCTAAGGCAATATATGTGCCAACTAAAATATCCCATTTGGCCAAGGGTCAATGAGATATCTAAATCTACAGGCTTACAATATGACAGATTTAAACAGCATTTTAAACAATTCTATGGATCAACAATCTGTTAATTATAAAAACCCTGAATCAGGGGTAAATCCTGTAAAGTTTAGGAACGTGCCAACATTAGACTGTAAAATCTAATTGCTATATACTTAAACCTTTCTCATGCTAGTAGCAACTGAATCTACCTATGTGACCAATGCAGACAAAGATCAGCCAGCACATTTGCATTGCTCACTATTCAGTCAGACTCGATACAAGATATATTTTGATTCTTTTTCTTAAAATTAATACTGGTTTTGACCAGATTGAAAGATGGACAAGTCCATTTAAGGTATTCAGCATCATAATGGTTATACATACATGTATATTTAACAATATTGTTATTACAAAGGGCAATAACTCAGTTATACACATTTATATCTTGCATAATCAGAAAAAATCTGGCACAGGGATGGCAGAAGAGTCGTGTGCACCCAAAATGACGTCATTTTGGAACATTTAAGAATGAAACTGTGTTCTTACAATGCCATCATTTCCCTGTTATAAATGAAGTTGTAAACAAGCAAATTTGTTGAATTTATATCCCCCGCCGAGTACTGGTTATTATTAACACAACAACTGAAGACATAAGGCTTTATTTATATATTAATCATGGCATAAACAGTAATATTCTTTGAACTTGATAAATATTCAGGGCAATAACAGAGCCATAACTTTGTTTTAAATAGTAAAATCTGGAAATGCCAATGAGATGTATGCATACTACATAACTAATCAAGGGCCATAAATCTGAGTTATAAGTATCTGACTGGAACAAGGCGACTATATGCACATCTCCTCTTAGTATCCCATAAAGTTTCATTGACTTCCAGCCAGTAGTAGCAGAGAAGTAGCGAGGAAACAAATATTTTTCTATATGGATACTGCATAACTAATCAAGGACCATAACTCTGAGTTAAAGTGTCTGACCGGAACAAGCCGACGATATGCGCATCTCCTCTTGGTATTGAAGGTTCCCATAAAGTTTTGTTGAATTCCAGCCAGTTGTTGCAGAGAAGTAGCGCGGAAACAATTTTTACTTCATATGCATACTGCATAACTAATCAAGGGCCATAACTCTGAGTTAAAGTGTCTGACCGGAACAAGCTGACGATATGCACATCTCCTCTTGGTATTGAAGGTTCCCATAAAGTTTCATTGAATTCCAGCCAGTAGTTGCAGAGAAGTAGTGCGGAAATGATTTTTACTCTATATGCATACTACATAACTAATCAAGGGCCATAACTCTGAGTTAAAGGGTCTGACCGGAACAAGCCGACGATATGCGCATCTCCTCTTGATATTGATGATTCCCATAAAGTTTCGTTGAATTCCAGCCAGTAGTTGCAGAGAACTACTCCGGAAACGATTTTTACTCCATATGCATATTGCATAACTAATCAAGGGCCATAACTCTGAGTTAAAGTGTCTGACCGGAACAAGCCGACAATATGCCAATCTCCTCTTGGTATTGATGATTCCCATAAAGTTTCGTTGAATTCCAGCCTGTAGTTGCAGAGAAGTAGTGCGGAAACGATTTTTACTCTATATGCATACTACATAACTAATCAAGGGCCATAACTCTGAGTTAAAGTGTCTGACCAGAACAATTCCACGATATGCGCATCTCCTCTTGATATTGATGATTCCCATAAAGTTTCGTTGAATTCCAGCCAGTAGTTGCAGAGAACTACTCCGGAAACGATTTTTACTCTATATGCATACTACATAACTAATCAAGGGCCATAACTCTGAGTTAAAGGGTCTGACCGGAACAAGCCGACTATATGCGCATCTCCTCTTGATATTGATGATTCCAATAAAGTTTCGTTGAATTCCAGCCAGTAGTTGCAGAGATCTACTCCGGAAACGAAATTCGGACGGACGGACGGACAACGCCAAAACTATATCCCCCTCCCGATTCCATCGGCGGGGGATAATTAATACATCACCAGGGTGCCCGTTTGACCCTTGAAATGTCTCTTTGACCCTTCAGACCTGATTTGACCCTCAGGATTTTTACTGGAGGGTCAAATTTTGTTAAATCATGACGATTTGACCTTGTACTTGGTAAATCTTAGTCAATACTGGTCAAAACTAGAACTATCACTAAATGTGATTAATACCCCCACAAGTCTGCTTCGGAAATGAGGATGTTACTAGTAACAGAATACCTTGTAAAAGAATTGAAACATAGAGTTATGGTTGTGGGCAATTAAAGATAATTGTGGTTCATGTATGTTGCATTTCCTTTCAATGTGGTTGGCCATTGATGAATTTTAATTGAATTACTCTGTAATAAGTCCAGAAAGACAAAGAAAAAGAACAAAGGGCAATAACTCTATAAATACTGAAGATAGAGTTATAGTTCTTGTGCACTGCACTTCCTCTTATTGTGCTTGACCATTGTATGAAGTTGTTTTGAATTCCAACCAGTACGTTTTAAGTTATGCTCCGGACAATGAAAAGTATCAAAGGGCAGTAACTCTGTATTTTGTCAAAATGGAGTTATGGCTCTTGTGCACTTCACTTCCTTTGAATGTCCTTGACAACTGTATGAAGTTGTACTGAATTCCAAACAGTAGTTTTCAAGTTATGCTCTGGACAAGGAAAAGTAACAAAGGGCAATAACTCTGTAATTAGTCAAGATGGAGTTATGGTTCTTGTGCACTGCACTTCCCCTTATTGTGCTTGACCATTGTATGAAGTTGTTTTGAATTCCAATCAGTAGTTTTCAAGTCATGCTCTGGACAAGGAAAAGTAACAAAGGGCAGTAACTCTGTAATTAGTCAAGATGGAGTTATGGTTCCTATGCACTGCACTTCCTCTCAATGTGCTTGACCATTGTATGAAGTTATAATGAATTCCAACAATAAGTCTTCAAGTTATGGTCCGGACAAAAGAAAGCAATGGAAAAGTAACAAAGGGCAATAACTCTGTAATTAGTCAAGATGGAGTTATAGTTCTTGTGCACTGCACTTCCCCTTATTGTGCTTGACCATTGTATGAAGTTGTTTTGAATTCCAACCAGTAGTTTTAAAGTCATGCTCTGGACAAGGAAAAGAAACAAGGGCAGTAACTCTGTAATAAGTCAAAATGGAGTTATGGTTCTTGTGCACTGCACTTCTTCTCAATGTGCCGGACCATTGTATGAAGTTATAATGAATTCCAACAATTAGTCTTCAAGTTATGGTCCGGACAAAAGAAAGCAATGGAAAAGTAATAAAGGGCAATAACTCTGTAATTACTTTAGATAGAGTTATGGTTCTTATGCACTGCACTTCCTCTCAATGTGCTTGACCATTGTATGTAGTTATATTGAATTCCAACCATTAGTCTTCAAGTTATGCTCCGGACAAAAAAAAGAATGCAAATTGAAAAGCAACAAAGGGCAATAACTCTGTAATTACTTTAGATAGAGTTATGGTTCTTGTGAACTGCACTTCCTCTTATTGTGTTTGACAATTGTATGAAGTTGTTTTGAATTCCAACCAGTAGTTTTCAAGTAATGCCCCGGACAAGGAAAAGTAACAAAGGGCAATAACTCTGTAATTAGTCAAGATAGAGTTATGGTTCTTGTGTACTGCACTTCCTCTCAATGTGCTTGACCATTGTATGTAGTTATATTGAATTCCAACCATTAGTCTTCAAGTTATGCTCCGGACAAGGAAAATGCAACGGACAAAAAAAAAACGCAATGGAAAAGCAACAAAGGGCAATAACTCTGTAATTACTTTAGATAGAGTTATGGTTCTTGTGCACTGCACTTCCCCTTATTGTGTTTGACAATTGTATGAAGTTGTTTTGAATTCCAACCAGTAGTTTTCAAGTAATGCCCAGGACAAGGAAAAGTAACAAAGGGCAATAACTCTGTAATTAGTCAAGATAGAGTTATGGTTCTTGTGCACTGCACTTCCTCTCAATGTGCTTGACCATTGTATGTAGTTATATTGAATTCCAACCATTAGTCTTCAAGTTATGCTCCGGACAAGGAAAATGCAACGGACAAAAAAAAAACGCAAGGGAAAAGCAACAAAGGGCAATAACTCTGTAATTACTTTAGATAGAGTTATGGTTCTTGTGCACTGCACTTCCCCTTATTGTGTTTGACAATTGTATGAAGTTGTTTTGAATTCCAACCAGTAGTTTTCAAGTTATGCCCCGGACAAGGAAAAGTAACAAAGGGCAATAACTCTGTAATTAGTTAAGATAGAGTTATGGTTCTTGTGCACTGCACTTCCTCTCAATGTGCTTGACCATTGTATGTAGTTATATTGAATTCCAACCATTAGTTTTCAAGTTATGCTCCGGACAAGGAAAATGCAACGGACGTCTGGACCGACCGACCGACCGACCGACCGACCGCCCGACCGACCGACCACCGAGTGACTCCTATATACCCCCCCAAACTTCGTTTTTGGGGGTATAATGACCCTCAGGATTCATGGCTAGTTAACACCCTGATCACTGTAAGAACATAATAAAGGGGAAAATGACATTAATTTCCTGGACATCTTCATATACTGAGATTAACCTTTTAAAATATGGTAGAATATGCAAGAAGAAATATCTGACATGTGTTTTGCTTTCATATCGAAATATCCATCCAAAGGATACCTGCCAATAGGTAGTAACTCAAGACTAGTAAACTAAGATGGGATGGTATCCAAGGGTCTGATTTTCCTATCAGAACTGAAACTCATGCCAGATACATGTATTATTTATAAAGCAATAAATAAATAAGTGTCTGAATCAAACATTATGTTATCAACAGATTATAAAAACATTTTTTTCAAGGAATGGCAATTTCATCAAGCATCAACACTCAGGGATATTTATAGAGAGATGTATATATATATATAATATACCAACCTCTACGGCCACTTTGAAAGCACTGTGAATGGATTCGAATAATTCTGGATTGTTTTTTGTAGCCTTATCTGTGACATTAGTTTCTTCCTCATTTTGTTGCTGTTCTTCTGCTTCAACATCATTTTGAACTGCAAACATTACATAAATAATGAAAAATAAACAATCTGTATTTTTAAAGCTGCAAGAATACAGGTAAGTCAACATTTTCAGGAAGGAAGAAAATTAAAGTAGCATGCCTCAAGATTCCTACCAATTTTCATGAAAATTTTGAAAATGTAATTAAAAGTAATATATTGTGAGGTGAACAAAGAATTTTACACACAGCAAATAGCACTAACAGTCAAGGTAAATTATCATAAAGAGGTCCACAATATGCAAAAATAGCCCTAACTGCCTTAGTAACAAAGTAGAAATATAGAAATAAGTAATGCAAAATCAATTATTTATAGCACATAACTGTAAATTATTACTTGAAACTGAATTCTTTTTTATACTGTTCTTAAAATCTTAGTACATTTTTCTCAAGTATGATTTCTTGAAATATTTTGGCTCATTAAGGGAAATGCAGCTGTAACAAAACTTTATATCTAACAAGTGTTTATCATTCCTTTTTTACTCCCAGAAATACCATCATATGAAAATTTTGCACTTTATCCTCTGATATAAATGTATTGGCTATTGTACTTCAAAACTGTTGTATTAGTTTATTTAATCATATTTACTTCAAACTGCACCTTTGTAAAGTCACTTTTTCATTGGATAATGGGACGTTTACATGTTTATCTATATAAAAGGCATCTAAGAATTTATGTGGTATTTATGCTAGTTCCTCAAATAAAGAAATTTTACTGTATTATTAAGTTTATACAGAATTTTTTTAAAATTTGGTTGTGTAGGAAGCTATAAGCTTATAGACACACTTTCGAATCCATTCCTGGAACCAACCAGTACTGAGCAATTGGTGTATAGTTTCTTGCTCAAGGAAACAATAACTTACTGCTGACAAAGCTTTGAACTTGTGGGGCAAGCGATCATTAGATTACCAGTCCAATGCATTAACCACTCGTACATGCTACCACTTAATACTTGTTTATTTAATTGTATAAGCTACTGTTATTGGGTTATATAACCAATTGTTGCTATTAGTACTATATATAACACTGCCTGATTGCAGATTTAATAAACTAACAACCATTCATATTGGGCCATATAACCTGTCCAAAATCTTTATATTGTTTATTATAAGACTGGAATGTATGGCAATGTATAAATGTTTGTTTGAAATATAACCACTTATAAGGCCATATAACCTGTCAAAAATCTTCATAACTAATATCACAGGCCTTTTTTCCTCTATTTGGGGAAAACTCCAAATGGCAAATTTGGGAAATTTGTGTCTTAAAATTTTCCAATTTGGGGAAAAAAGTTATCATGAAATTTGCCAATTTGGGAAAATATGCTAGCATTCAAGGTGTCGCAATTGTTAAAATAAATCTAAATAAATCTTATTTTAACTGTTCAGCTTTTTCTGCTATATCAAAAATACATGGACAGGCTAAAAAATTCTGTTTTTATTTATAAAACATAAATATATTCAGAAAATTTGAGGATAAAACTTTAACTCAGTATGTAACGGTATTTCAAGACACCAAAATTGAAAATGCTGTACTTTTTCTTTCAAATTGCCAGCTTCTAGATTGGGAATATTTTTTAATGTTTACATAACCTACAATATACCTTTATCTTTTTTCTTCTTTTTCTTCTTCTTCTTTTTAGCAGATTGTAACTCAGTGGGATCTGTATTAGATGCAAGTTCCCGTTTCACACCAGAACCTGCTTTGTGGGTTTTTTCCCTTCGTTCTTGCCTTGAGAAAACTCTAACGTAGTTTCGTATAGCAATGTAGATAAAGAATGGACTTATTCTGTAAACAATAATTATTGTTACATTATTTCAAAGCACACAATTTTAAAAACATAAAGTTTATTATGAATATATAAAAGTCACCTCGATTTTACAAATAACCTTTTCAATGAGAAGCAATACAGCCGAAAATTAAAGTTCCAATAAATATACATACTTGCTTGAATAGTATTACGTGTATTATGTGTATTTTATATAAATCTCATCAATGCATGCAAGTTTCATGATGCAATATCAAAATAATTTTTCTCAGCAAACACAATTCTTACTATTTTTTTCAGCTGCTTTGCTTTTGCTTCTCAATGCTTATTCTATATGTCTGTCAATAAATACTAATGCAGCTTGTTTAGGCATATGTCGGCACCAGAATAGTCTAGAACCACCCATTTTTCATAAGCTAGCTGGATAGCTTATGAAACATGAACAAATTCAAAGTTTCTTACAAGAATTGATCCCATAGAGGTGAGACTGAGAGGTAGGTGGTTTGAAGTCCAAGACCTTAACCACCTTACCATGCACACCCCCTTAAAATTTCTTGCATTTTCTTGTATCAATTTCAACTACTGATATGTTAACTGACTGATCACCAATCAAAAATCAGCAAACAATCATTAAGCTTTTTCTACAGGGAACATACCATTTGTAGTAAATGACAACAAATGTTTTTTGTACGTGTAAATTTGATAATTAAAGTTACTTTTCGTCCTCAATGGCTTTGGAGTCGTTGATTTTCTGCAGAACCTTTCTCTGAATGTCTTCAACAACTTTATCGGCACCTCCACCCTCTGCTGGAATGGTTAGAAAAGCTCTACGGGCAAGAGCCGGTAACGATGATATCACCTCCTTCACTGACATTCCCAATAATAAGCTGTTCCATATCTGCCAATATTACCGAAAAAAAAAACAAATCAAAATTAGAACCGTTTGAATGACTTTTACTTCCAACCTCATCAGGTTATAAATGAAACAAGCAAACTTGTTGAAAGGATATCCCCTGCCATATGACGCAAAATGATCAATTGACAGTTCCCGAGTATTAATTAAGTATGTGTATGTTTGACTATGAACGTAAATTAAATTTGCTTCTTTACCTATGTCAAGAATGCTTTTAACCCAAAAAGCAGTATTTTAGGGGCCTTTTCAAATCTTTCTTTCAGAGCTTTCATTAAGATGCAAAATATGGACGTCAGAGGGTGCAAAAATCTCAGATATCGGAAATTAAATTATGTACGTTAAAAAGAAAAAGCATTACAATTTGGAAGTCACAAGCCAAAAACAAATTGTAAATGACTACTAAACTTATTGGACAATTACAAATCCAAAGACCAAACAAGCCTATTACAAGGAACGGGTATTAAAACCAGAAGAGTCTCAGAAATAAAAGAAATCAAATATGTCCATACAAAAAGTATTTTCTGATATTACATGTACCTCTTTAGAAGACAATAATGGGACTGGAATATGTTCTTTATGAAGTCCTACTTCTTCCATTTTCATTGCCACAGCGAATGAGTCATCAGAATGTTTGATAAAGTTGACTGCATCAAAATAAGTTATTAATCTCTGCACGTCTTCTGACGGATTCTTGAATTCTTCCTTAGCTTTCTGTAAACCTTTACATACAACCTTTATGATGAAACCCATACCTGGAACATGAACAATTATTACAGATGTGTGAATCTTCTCATGAAAAATGTTACACACTTATAAACTGTGTAACAGTTTATTTATTGATGTGTGGTATTTCTTAAGTTCTATCTTCTTTTTTGAATTTATATACTAGTTGGATTTTTGGCCATATTAATACTGTGAATGTCATATGGCAATTTTCTAGCTTTTCTAAACTTTAATTTCAACTTACTAGGACGGAACAGCTTGTGAACTTCTTCTTTATTTCTAAGAAAAGAGTAGAACCACCAAATTTCTATGAGTTACAAATGTAACAGGATAGTTCCCTCACTAGTGATTAATCTCCTTCAAAGATTACATTTACTAAACATTATGATTAACAATCTCAGATCATGCCCCATCCACATCACACTTGACATTGTGCAAGCCATCTAAGGGACTCATTTGCTTTTCATCCTTAAAGCTTATCTTTAATAATAGATTAGATAATAAGACAAGCCTTTTGTTAGGCAAAAAAAAAATCCATTTCATATTTTCCTACCTAACCTTGTATTTCAACTTCTGGTTTAAGAATTTTTTATTTGACTTAAAGTTCTCACTTTTCCCAAATCTTTTCTTTGCACGTGCAAAATGTGAAAAAAAATATGTATATGTAAATAGAAAATCCTACATACCTACCCTTTTATTTGGAGTCGAGGACCTGAAACAGAACTTTTTTTTGTCCTTAGCCAGAAACAGAACTATTTTTTTGGTCCTTATAGCTAGGACAGCCAAACATCCATAGCCAAAAACAAGTCTCAGCTTGAAAACTAATACTTACTGTCATTTTCTGGCTTCATATGTGATAGTCTAAACACATCTTTATGATGCCATCTTCCTACAGAAACATACCGTGTCACAAACTCTGCTATCAACATAGGATCCCTACTGTGATACCACTTTGTGACAGTTTTACGAAGTCCCGCCCCCCAGCCTTTAGTCAGTTGACTTAAATCTTTTACATGTTTTAACCACATAAATAAATCATATGGATTTTCACACACTTCATTTACTGCTAGATATGCTGCCTTTTTAGTAGGTTCATTGCTCGAGTGAGTTGCTACGGCGAGAAAATACAACAGAGGTTCACGTTTATAATACGACTTTTCCGAATTAACACGTTTTATAGATTCCACAGCTTCAGGGCCCTGACCAGCTTCTATCATCACTTTTATCACATTTCCGAATACTCTAAACACTTTGTTTTTGCCTGGCAGAAAGAAAGATCCTTCTGTTCCAGTTCTAAGGTATCGAATGAGTTTTTCCTGAAGGGAAAGTGGATTTATATCGGCTTCAGCCATCTTTGCTGCCTATCGGTGGACGCAGAATCTGAAAACAGGTGAAAACATTTTAATTACGAAAGATATGAGAACCTGAATATTACAGTACAATGAGGCCTACCAGAACTTTAAAATAATAATTTTTGTTTCCCTCCTGCAACCCAAGGTTCTAGCTAGGATATTATCGCAGGTTGTGTGCAAAATGCCTTCAGGCATTGAGTGATTGACGTATAATTGCTTCATCCATTAATCTCTCAGACATCTCTTGCCACCCATATAAGTTGCTAGGTAAAAAGATTTGAGCCGCGTCACGACAAAACCAATATAGTGCGTTTGCGACCAGCATGGATCCAGACCAGCCTGCGCATCCGCCCAGTCTGATCAGGCTCCATGCTGTTTGCTATCAGTTTCTCTACTTGTAATAGGGTTGGTAAGTGAACAGCATGAATCCTGATCAGACTGGGCAGATGCGCAGGCTGGTCCGGATCCATACTGGTCGCAAACCCATTATGTTGGTTTTGTCGTGACGCGGCTCAATTTTTTCCAAAATAACTGCGTTGATTTAAAAATAAAATATGAATTCTCCAAAATAAAAAAATGTTTTTGATTGTAAATAAAAAAAATTTTGGGGTAGCAGTGTTTTTGTGGAAAGTAAAGTGAGAAAAAACAAACAATACTTTATTTTATGCAGCATAAAACTGAATAAAAACTTTTTCCCCCAACTTAAAAGTTGCCTAGTTCTCAGCCAGATTTTAAAAACTGACCAAACTATGAAAACAAAGATATATATTTTAAGATGATGTAATATTTTTGAGGCCAACATGTTGACTATTCAGTTTTTCAGAACTGCAGAATATGCACTTTTTTTAATAGTCAAATGTCCAGCCCAAAACTGTAGTACAATGCAGAGAAAATGTTTCTGACCTGAGTTCAACGCAGTGATGCAAGCTTTCTAAGCACTAAGTAGGGGTCACAGGGTTGGAAATGTGCAGCCTGACTGGGACTCAAACCAGGGATTTTTTTTTACCTCAAGATGTTTACTGAATATGAGCTATAACTGGCTGATAACAGTTAGCCTGGAACCCCGTTGTATCGATCTATTTACCCATAAATCACAACTGCATTCAAAAAATTCAAATCTCCCTGAATATTTATTTTGTACCTTTATTTTGATCCTTTTGCCATAATATTTACATGGCAAACATCACTGATATATAGTTTTTAGCTTTGGATTATACAGATTTTTACAGACATGTCAAACAGGTTGAAGAATTAGGTCACGCCATTATATCGATGCATTGTGAGAATCGCTCAGTTACCCAAAGTTTGGGAAGCCTTAACCATCTTTATGTTAGGTGTTTCAGTCAATTAGAAACATAGATGTCTGTTTTAAAATGTCAGCATACATTTAGGAACTTTTAACTGAGAATAAATGTACTATTAATGAAAACACACTATTTATAAGTCTATTTATTATCTACAATGTCTTACAGTACTGGAAACATGTTTTTGATCATTTTACAGCACAAAAATACATGCGAAAGATTTTCGTGACACTGTTGTAAATGTTAATAATCAGTAGACGACGTATTTTGCAAAATATCTTAAGATTTGTAAATAGATCGATACAATGAATAGCACGATACAATGGGGTTCCACTATACACATCTTCTCCTCAAATTAGTAGACAGTAACTATAGTTTTAATCCCTAGCTAATTGGTTGCTTTATTTAACAATTGCACAGGTTGTCAAAATATATTGATGTGCCAAAGCTTCTCTCCTTGATTTTATTAGATATATTCCTTCTTGGTCAGAATGTCGCTTTTTAGTTTTAGAGGCGAGATATTGCCCAGACACGAAAATAGTATAATATCTCGTCGCCCTTCCCTCCCCTTTTCGCTTGAAATAAGATGTGAAATTTGGAAAAATAAAGGACAAAGTATGTATTTCTTTGTGAACATTTTTTTTTTTTTTGGGGGGGGGGGGGGGGTGATCGAATATACGCGTAACGTGTAAAGAGGGGGTTAGCTTACGCGTCGGATAACTGTCAGCTCTTGTAAAGTTTGAACAGGTGAAGTAGCCTTGAGCAATTTTAGGGGAGAAGCACGAGTTGGTAGTCTACAGCATGACTAGGACTTGCGTACCTGTACACAAACAAATTTTATTTAAAAATACGGTAGAAATATAAAGCATAACAATTTGACAAGCTTCATTTTCGAAAATACTAAATGGTCTGGACGTTCAGTGCGATATGGAAAACTTTACCTTGAACACTAACGCACTAAACGAAGTTATTTAAAGAATGCAACTTTTACATCTTTTTGCTAAGCTTCTCAAATCGGTCGGTGCGCTCTACGTCATGTATATATGTGTGTTTCTAATTATAGAAATGGAATTCGATTCTCATTATTACGTGTTGAAGTCTACTAAATTCATCAACGAATTGATGTTACACCACTAAATGTTTTCCTTCGTAATAGACCTTGAGAACTGACTTCGATCTGGTGTGCAAAATTTCATCCGTACTTTTTTCAGGAATTATCAATTTTATTGTGCACAATGAGAAAATATTGAAAAGCGTTGCAACACTTTTCAATGAAATCGGGCAAAGAATCCACCAAAATATCGATATTCACTTAAATTTTGCGTATATGTTTATTATCCTTTGCAGGTTTTACAATTTAAATGCTGTCATTGATATATTTAATAATTTCAAATTTATGTTTATATTCATTTTGATGCAGGTTGCTGTTATGTCAAGGGTGCACCGTTGCATTTTAGGTGAAAATGTAGCGTTTATTTTTTAAATATATAATAGACTACCTTCGAATCTTAGATGTAGGAAAACTGACTGTTAAAGTCATTTTCTATGAATATTACACTATTCCAATACTTATTACTCACATAAATTGTACGTGTTTCTTCTAAACCGCCAACACTTTGATCATGAGAGATAATTAAAAGTGCAGTGGTTAGGTTGTTGAATTTTAAGCTACGACCCTTTAAATGTCATATGACGACATTTTTGTTACATTTTTCTAGTCCTTAGGGATAGTTGATTCTAATATTCCAATATGTTTGTTAAATTGAAGATTGAATACGTCTTAAGCTTGTGCTAGGGATGTGAGGGATGTTGCCCTTTACATTAGGCCCTATCTCTTGTGAAGAGACCTAATCAAAGAGAGTCTGATTTTTATTCACTTTGAGACTTTGTTTTCATAGTTCTATAGGTGTATCCAAATTTCCAGACTTTTAGGACGGATTGTTACGTAATTGTTTCTATTCTGTTGAAAAATGCATTTTTTAGACAGTGTTTTATATTTTTCTAAAGACCCTTTCAGTTAAGATTGGATTCAAGTTGTTACCCTATGATGACGTCATTGGGGGATACGGCAAACATTGACGATACGATTAAGTACATGTACATTTATAAAGTGATACGAACATCTAAATCTTTAATCGTGTAAGCTGGGCGGATTTAAATTGCAGAATTTTTTATCATTGAATTTGAAATTACATAAAATGATGTCAAAATGAATATATCGTTTACCACAATAAGCTTTACATTAAGTTTCAGTGCTAGATCATGGCTGTGTCACTGTTAATTATAAACGTGTGACCCAGATAATGGTTACCATTGTCTTTTGATTCTAGATAATGAAACATGTCGCACCGTGTTTTATCACGCAGTTAAATTGACCTTTCTTTTATTATTTTTGTATACGCAACAAACACGGCGACGTTTACTATTGTCTTCATATATAATTATTATATTTCGTTTGGACATATATGCACGTTATAACCCTTCTCAAACAATTAATTTTACAAGAAACAGCTTGAATAAACATATTTGATTTAAGTATTTTTCAAGTTCACCGTGCTAAAACAATGAAAGCATTGATACGAATCTATGGATACAAATTTATTTCTAAAAGAAAATCTAATGCTTAATAGTAACGATTCTTTTGAATGTAAACTATTTGTGTCGGCAAACAAGCAATTTGTAAGTCTTTGATAAGGTGGCATCGTTATAAGCTGATTAGGTCATATATGATGTCAATTTGATGCATTGCATAAGTTAGAAAAAAGTACAATAAAATAGCGATACACGTACTTTCAACATAATACTTTTATATCATTCATATGATTATATGCTTAGTAAACATTGTATAGAAAAAAATCACTTTTTTTTTCACTAAACGCTCAAACATGGGGTGAAAAACGTACACAGAAATTTCGTTAGTAAGTGAAAACATAAAATAATTATAAATCTGACACCCTGTATTAACAAAAGTTTGTTATCATTCAAGGGATCAAATCCGTCAGGCGAATGCCTTCTTTTCAGGATTTGAATATATTTTTGTCTAAAAAAGGTTATGAGCTTTCATATCAATAAGATTACCAAGGCATGGTTTTATATATCTACATGTCCACTATAAAGTTTATGCAAGTTGTCCTGCATGAGTGAGGTACCCAAAATAAGTGTTTAACCCCAGAAAAGTGGATAAAGTCAGCGCCTTCATTTTTATGTCAAAAAAGCCAGAAAATCAGCACCAATCTATTGTTTTAACATTTTATTTGCATTATCTATTTTTTGTTGATACATTGAATTTAAGTGAAAATCAATTGGTGATATGTTGAAGATGATTAGTGTGGCCAGGGCTTTGTCATTAAACATATTTTCCAGATTTTGAGGGAAAAATGCTGTCCATTGCCTATACACGTTTCCGGTTTGAAGATTTATAGCTTTTTCTTCATAAAAAATCTTTTAATTATGGATTGGCGTAGGATTTTCCCTATCTATATTTAAGGTTGGTGACTTCATTTGTATTTACCTGGGTTAACTGTTTAGGTTCATTGAATTTTTGTATTCCTACGCCGTCTATAAATATTCAACATTGCGCGTAATCTGCACAGTTTTTGTCAGACACGTTTAGTTACCAGTCGTTTCTTAGTTGTTCTTCAATTTCGTGACATCTTGTCTTTATGTCAGTATGTTAACATTTATTTGTTGGTCGCCTTGGCTTCACAAAAATAATTCTAAATAAACTTACAAGATATCTGTCTGATAAATTATCCTAAAATGTATAAAACATATTATGTCATAACATAAGTTCAGAACATTGATCAGACAATTATTGTCAAACGGAACGTTTTCCTGATATTTATCATGCCATTACTATGACAACTGCCTGATAAAGCCTGTCTGAGAACAGCAACCTTTCTCAGTCAGTGACTTGAGAACACTTTGTTCCTACGCCAGATCAGCACTGATGATGTTTATTGTTGGTATTGTTTAATTGACTTTGCTGAATATTTATGATAATACACAGTAAATAAATTGTTAAAGCAAATTGTACCAAAACTTGTGTTGTGTTATAAAAGTATTGGTAAAAACCCTCGGACTACTTTTTTGGCGTATAACCCTCTTGTGGTTACCGTACTTTCAGAAATTAGCGCCCCGAATTAAAAAAATAAGATGCAAAGTCATAATAGAGGCATGATAAAAAGAATAACAGGTTACTGTCTTTTGAGAAAGGGATTTCTCAGACTCGGCTAGATATGGTCCGGAAGGGGCTCGGCAAGCCTCGCCCCTTCCAGGACCATATCTAACCTCGTCTGAGAAACCCTTTCTCAAAAGACAGTAACCTGTTATTCTCTATGTATCCAGTACATTACATTTTTTCAAGGAAAATATTTAGGGGTATTCATCATTTTAAGCTTGCACTTGTTTCCGGTTATGGAATAGATGTGCCTTGCTACGTGACCTACTTTTCACCCTCACATGACACTTCCGGGTTATTAGTGAAAGATGGCAAGTCAAACTACTGGGATTCAACAGCTTTTAGCTGCCGAGAAACGTGCCGCTGATAAAGTTGCTGAAGCAAGAAAGCGTAAGTAGTTTTGTGACGAGACGACATTTTCAAATCGAACCTTACTTAGTTAAATACGGGTTTTGACAGGTTGACAGTTGATAAACAAAGTTCTATTATTATGCTGTTATGATCAGATGATAATGAAGCATGTTTCGACCCATGATTCACGAATTTTTATTCTGTTTCCTGTGTGGCTACATTACTCTCTATAATAGTTGATTAATGTCAGTTATTTTATGCGAACACTTTTTAATTGAAAGTCTAATTTCCTTTGGCTATGAAATAATTCCAAATCCAAAATTTACATTCTAATGAACAATAATATACTGGCATGCGAGCAGTTCCCGTACAGAAGCAGTACCCGTATTTTTCATTTCAACGCTTGATTCTTACTTGCATTCTTCAAAAATTCATTTCAAATCAAGCAGATACATAAACGAGACAAAATCTAAGTGTCCGTTTGGCAGTTCGTATATAAAGTCTCATTTTAAATCACTTTCACCTGTGCGTCGTCAAAACGTGACCTTGTTTTCTCTGGGGGATTCCGTCCTTGCGCGCATGCGCAAAAATACTTACACGTGAGGCTTGTTAAAGGGTTTTCCACTAATACCACCTGTTTACAAATAAGTAGGCAATGTGATGTAAACTTGTTTAATTATCAGAATGTTGACCAATATTACTATATATAATAATTTCATGGCTTTGATGCTTTGATGCGTAAAATATCATGCATACAAGCATGCTATTGCATGTGAATGCGTTGGGGTAATGGTACCGGGTAATTGATACCCGCGTTTAGTCTACGCTCTATTTCCTGAATTACATCTATTTATCTCTTAGATAATGGTCTGTTCAACAATTGTAAATGAAAAATAGGTCCGATATAATAAAATTGTATAATTATAATGGGTTAGATTTTATGTACGGGAACTACTTCTCTTCATACAAAATAATGGATAATTTCGGTACCCCATATGAGGCCTCATAAGTAAGGGTTATTCTATGTTTAGAACATCATGGAATTTCCATCATTTGTGTGACGAGCTGAATATTGATGTGTAACATTCTAATTGTGGTGAGTGAGCGTAATAAAAAATAATGTTTAAGTAACTGTGATTTTTGTACGGGAACTGCTCGCATGCCAGTACAGCTGTTAAATGGTTTAAACAATTGATGCCATGAAAAATGATCAATGCTTATTTTCATAATACATGTAATGGTATCAAAATATAATTTACAGAAAATTTAAATACCAAGCTTATCAGTCATTCTGCTGTCAATATAACACCAACAGAAGACAAATTAACATATTAGAAGTTTTTATTTGCGATATATTATTATATATACCTTGAAATAAGTTAAGCACACCCAGATTTTTGTCTCAATTTTGACATGACTAACTACAACTGAAATTTTGAATTGAAAGGGGCAATGGTATGAACCACCTGTAGTCAACCTGCAGCAACTGGAACAAGCTCTGAGCCAAGAATGACAAAATTTACCTCAAAATCGCATTTAATACGCCTTACTGGTAGTATGAGAAGGGTTGAGGCTATCATCCTGGCACATGACGGTTACACACATTATTAAAATTTTGGGAACACAATGTCATTTTAGGTGTCATAATCATCATCATTTACCAAAAATATCCACCAGTAAATGTTTTGAAAACGCTCCAACACCATACTTATAAACACTTACATTTTTTGGTAAAAACCAACACATTTGCTGATCCTTCAATAATTTAGTTAAGAATAAACTTAACTCATGACATGACTGGTTTATGATTGCTAAATTGGTATCACTACTAATCAAATTGCTATTTCTTAGCTCAATTAGGTCGTCATCTCATGACAGTGCTTTCAATGATCACAACCAATTTCAAATTTCCGGGGTGTGCTTAAGTAATAGATATACCATTGCTGCGTTGACGATTTCTGGGTTTGCGTAAATTAAACCATATTCACGTGACCTTTCTTATGCCTTGACCTCACGATCTTAATTTGCATAGCAGAAATGACGTAAAATGAGCTGTCAATCAAAATAACATGAAGCGTAACTGTTTTAACCTATTGCTCCGCCCAGAAAAACTGAAAATTATACCATAGTCTGGGTATGGTATAATTTATAGTTATTGGAAATTATACTTGGAAGCATTTTTTCCGGGGTGTGCTTAACTTAACCTATAGCTCTTCAGCGCTTCTTATGTAAAATTCTTCCAAGTATAATTTCCAATAACCATAAATTATACCATACCCAGACTATGGTATAATTTCAGTTTTTCTAGGCGGAGCAATAGGTTAAAACAGTAGCGTCATGTTATTTTGATTGACAGCTCAATTTACGTCATTTCTGCTATGCAAATTAAGATCGAAGGAGTAAGTGTTTCTGGGCGGAGCTATAGGTTAAAACAGATACACCATTGGTGCGTTGGCGATTTCTGGGTTTGCGTAAATTATACCATAATCACGTGACCTTTCTTATGCAACCTCAAGAGACGAACACTCGACTTCGTCTCGTGAGGTCAAGGCATAAGAAAGGTCACATAATCACGTGACCTTTCTTATGCAACCTCACGAGACGAACACTCGACTTCGTCTCGTGAGGTCAAGGCATAAGAAAGGTCACGTGATTATGGTATAATTTACGCAAACCCAGAAATCGTCAACGCAGCAATGGTATATCTATTACTTCTTGCTAAAACTATTTTACTTTATTGATGATTTGATCACTTGATAAATTGTAATGCTAAAAGAAAATGGTAAGCTCCAACATTGAGTAGTATTACATTTGCCTACGTTTATCAGCATATGACTGAATCTGAATCTTTTGCAAACTTTATTGTTTAACAACAAAGGACTGAATGACTAATTCTTTTTGCAAATTTTAAAGACACCAGACATGTTATATATTACAGGTAAAGGACGTAGGTTGAAGCAGGCTAAAGAAGAGGCCCAGGCTGAAATAGAAGCTTACAGAAATAAAAGGGAGAGTGATTATAAAAGATATGAACAAAGTGTATGTATAAATTCTGTTGTTTTCTTTTAGCTGCAAGATGTACACTGAACATACAATCTGACTAAAACCAGCTCTGAAATAACTGCTACAATCTATATATAAAACATAAGAAGATCTTAATTTGAGTCAGATTGGACTGAACGAAAGTTATAAACGCCCTGTGAATATTTTGGTTAATATGGAAATACCTTCAATTTAGGACCATTAAACCCCCAAACTGCTGTTATTTCCATTTCCCAAACTCTTTATTTTCATTTTTGAAACACTTTATTTTTGGTACTACCGGTTTCGGGTACTATATTAACACTTCTTCAGGTTGTTTATATTTTGTGTATTACAGTAACCTGTATGACAAATTATTTCACATTCAACACTACTTCTGCCGTTCTGGTCATAAGCACCTAATATACTTTTAAAATCCATTAATAAATGATCACTAAACTCATGTTTGCCCTTTTAAAGAAGAAAAAAAAATCTTCAGGCATAATGTGCCACTAAAATTAAACCATAGGTATGGGCCATGTTGTATTATACTGCATATAGAATTCCTGCCTCCTTGGGAAGACTAAGTATCACTAATGTGTAATTTAAAGTTGCAGCATGGCCGAGTGGTTAAAACATCAGACTAGTAATCTTACAATCGCTAGCCGCATGGGTTCAAACCCATCAGGGACAAGTCGTTGTTTCCTTGAGCAAGAAACTTTACACACATTGCTCAGTACTGGTTTGTTCCAGGAACGGATTCGAAAGTGTGTCTTGTAGGTTCCTCGAACAAAAATAAATCCTGTATAAACCAAACGTATATCGTGTTGTTGCTCAGTGCTGTTATTAATATGAGGAACTTTCCCTGTTTTGTAGGTTTTGGGATCTCGAGGTGACCGAGAGAAACAGATTGACAAAGATACTCAAGAAAGAATACGCACAATTGAACAGAATGTACAGAAACAAAAAAACCAAGCTCTACAGAGTCTTCTAGAAATGGTGTACGATATCAAACCGGAAATGCACATCAATCTTAGATTATAAAACAATAGTCTTTTTTTTTAAAATATTACTTAGGTCAGACCAATGGAATATGTGTATTCAAGAGTTATAGTGATAGAATTTGAGTGACTCGGGGGGGGGGGGAGGTTTAGCAAATTTTATGGAGTTTGAAATATTCAGGAAAACAAAATATGTCCTTTTTGTAGCAAACCTTAATTTTGAAACCTAAAAATATAAAAATCTTGTTTCTTAAAGTATATACATGTAGTAAGCTGAGGGGGTGGGGGTGAAAGAATATCAAATATCATGACATATACATTTTGTGATTGCTTATAGAAATGTAGGAGAATTTTTGGTCTACAAATGTCATTCAGAGAAATATCTGTGTTATTTGGATCAGTAGATGAAAGTTCAGTTCTATGGTATTCAAGCGTAAAAGTCTTGTTTGTTGTATTTAAGCAATTATTTGTTAACATTGTAAAAAAAGAAAAAATCACTTCAAGTATTGAAATGTGAATTCTTAAATGTTTTTTGATGCTAATATGCTATTACCTCTAAAAGAAAATACACAATATTTTTTTTTTTCTTCTTCACATTTGACCAAAAAAGTTTTCATTAATATGTACATATGTACAATGTAGCATGTTTCAAACAGCTCAATTTAAAGGTTAACTGTTATAGAACTTGCAGAAGGTAATACAGATCAAATTATACACAAATTGTTAACTAACCTAGTCAACTTTGTTTTATTTCATAAATTGATATGTTATGCATATATTGTTGTGTAAGAAAATGTAGTCTGTTAGAATTGTTTATATGTTATAACGGAGCTATTTTAAGGATATAGTCAAGTGCTCGCAAATTTTGTTCGAAACTAAATTGTGTTTTTAACTGAAGGTCTCAAAAGTTATACAAATGCTTACAGTTGTGAATTTAAAACTCCTTCTCAACAGGGAAATCCAAATTTATACAATGGTTTTTATAATGTAACATTCCATACATGCCATATGTTCGATGTATACTATACTGTAGCACATGTTGTGATTTAAATTGTGTAAATAAATAATATATAAACTTGTATTATTTCTAGACATTATAATTTGTTTGTAAACATATTTGAATCCTTACCCCCCTTAATATCTTAAATGGACTTGTTCATCTTACAATCTGGACGTAACCATTCATCATTTTAGGGAAAATTTCTAAGCATGCACTGACAGTGTAGACCCTGATCAGACGGCATGAATGTGCCAGTTGATTTTGGTCTAAACAGGGTGCATGTGTAAAATAAGTTGCTCCCAGCAGGGTTAATCCTATGACAAATATGTCTAATTAATACAAGAATCTTTCTCTATGATTATACGAGGGTTGTCTGAAAAATCCATATATTATTCTTTTTATGCCACCGCAGCATCTGCGATGAGGTGGCATATAGCGATTCACCTGTGTGTGTTTGTGTGTGTGTTTGTACGTGTTTTCTATAGATTATATAGTGAACTATAGCTTCCAGTCGTTCAAAGAATTTCATTCCATGCAGAAATTTGGTTGCCATGGCAACCAAAAGTAATTTTAAGAATAAATTTAAAAAATCTAGACCTCTACCAAGATTGTTCAAATTAAAGCCCTGGGGTCAAAATCAGCCCCGCCCCGGGGGTCATTAATTTTCACTGTATGTTCATATAGTAAAAACTTAAAATACCTTCTTGTCTGAAGGTTCAAGGCTTAGAGGTTTGATATTTGGTATGTGTTATCATGTATAGGTACTCTACCAAAGTTGTTCAAATTTTGCCTCTAGCGTAAAAATTAGCACTGCCCGGGGGTCATAGGTTTTCCTTACATGTATATAGTAAAAACTTTAAAAAAAATTCTTCTCGCAATTGACAAATGCTATAGGTAGATATTTTGCATAAAACATTGTGTAGTGAACCTCTAGCAAGATTGTTCAAATTATAGGCCTGGGGTCAAAATTGGCACAAAAGAGCACGTGCTTATGTTTGTGATACTGTTTGTGAGCAGTTGACCTAGCAATGAATGGAAAAGGCGTGGCTAAATGTTCCGCTACGAAAAACCGGAAAGGTCCATTTTCTAGCACTAACTTATGCAAACACTAAAAAATCAAGTACGATATGCAAGAATAGACTTACTATAGTTCGGGTTTTCCCAGCTAATCTGGAGGTATACAAACAAACTTTTACAGTTACAACTTCGAAAATAAGTGCAACAGGATGACCTATCTATTGTGACCTAGGTAGTGCACTGTGAAGTTAAAACTACATGTATAAAAGTTTGTATGCACAGGTTGGAAGAATGCACTTTTGCCGAATTCTGGTTAACTACTATTTAGGCTGCATTTCATATTTATTTTAAGCTTGATTGCCAAACAAAGCTCTTGCAACTTACATTAAACACTTTTGAGTCTGCTTCCTGGAACCAACCAGTACTGACGTCATTTGAAGACACATGGTTGTGACCAGATTAGGGCTTGAACCCACAATCTCAGGGTTGATAGGCAGACCAACACCTTAACCATTAGGCCACAGCTCCCCTTTAAGGCAGTCTTATGACGTATATATGACATTGATAGAAAGAATATTAATAAGATTGATTGAAACCAGAAATCATGTCATCACCTTAGTGCAGTAACCAGTTAACTCCCATTAAACTATTTAAGGAGTTAACTGGTTACTTCACTATGGCAACGATGTGCAGTTGTGACCTAAAGCAGGTATTGTGTCAGATATTCTAACAGCTTGGTTGTATAATGCAGATATATACACAAATCTTATATCAGACACTGTGTGAGTGATATGAATTTTATTTCACTGACAAAAACCACTAGTGAGTATTTCACTGGTTAGCATCAAATATTAAATGTTATATTTCAGACAAATAATTTTCATCAGTTAAAGATAAAACAAAATATTGATCACTTTTTCTATTTATATTTTTTTTTATGACATTACAATTACAATGTAATATACATTTATCTGAAAACAATATTGCAAATAAAAATTTATAAATGTATAAAAAAATCTTGAAAAAAAAATAAATATGTAAAACTTTTCATAAATATTTCATAACAAAAACTATAATTATTTGATAATTAATTTTAACAGAGAAAATATAAGCATTATCTAAATTAGTTTATTAGTAGATCTATATTGTATGTTCAAATACTGCAAAACCATTATTATCTGTGGGGCACTAATTTTCGTGGTTTTCGTGGATAGGTCAATCCAGGAATTTAAGAACTAATGACATTTTATTACATTTGCTGAACATTTTTTATATCCCCCCCCCCCCACAAAAAAAAAACAGACAAAAAATTCATGAATTTAAGAACCCATGCAGTCCTTTTGGACAAAACCACGAAATTTCATGACCACAAATTTAAGTGAATTTACAGTATAATGTACTTAATTAATATACAAAATACATGTTTCTGTAAGCGTTCATGGTCAATTCCTGTACTACAAACTCCAAATCAGTGTAAAATTATAAGCCATGCAATAAACACTGCAAAGACTTATTATTTATTTATTAAGATGCAAAATTTTTAATCTGTAATTTTGTTTTTACCTAAACAGATATATATGTTACTCCCTTATAATGAAGCTGTTCAATATTTAGACTCAGAATGCCAATTGATAAAGTAATAAGATACCAATAACCGTCACTAATAAATCACATATAATCACAAATCAGATGTTTGTTTTGGGTTTTTACGTCACAACGACACAGTATCGGTCGTATCGACATTCTAGCTTTACTGGTGGAGGAAGACCTCAGGTGCCCCTCTCTGCATTATTTCAGGCACGAACAGGCACCTGAGTAGAACCACCGACATTCCGTAAGCAAGCTGGATAGCTTCCTTACATGGAAGAATCCAAAGTTCCTGTCGGGATTCAAACCAACAGCGGTGAGGGGCAAATCAGATGTGAAGTGCTACATCATGTATATAATACACATAAGCTAAATACGTTTACATGTATTTCCTATGATTTTCCGCATGAGAAAGGTTAAAGTTAAAATATAAAGTCACTCCAAGAAAGGTTCAGTGACCGGAAGTCAATTAAGGAAGTAGGTGCTTGAAATCGCAAAATACAAATGTATTAGTACACATTGAGTTGAAAAACCTTTAAAATAATGGTAAATTGACTTCTTTTATCCACTGTGTAACAGTCACATTCTAACGAAAAAATAGTTGTCAGGTCATATATACCTCCCGTGTTACAAAATCAGACTGTGGCGAAATAAAACTGTTACATTTTGCGGACAATGTGTCATGCAAGACTAAAGTTTATATGAAATGACCATAGATTAACTTAAATATTAAGATGCATGTTACCCATATAGGAATATATAATACATGTGGTTATATCACATAAAAAACAATATTTGGTCAGAAATTATGTTATATAACAAATTTTTGTTAAATATAGTAAATGGTTATATAATCATATTTAAATGTTTAAAAAAAGGTTTATAAAGGAAATTGAAAAAGACTGTTATGAAATTTACGGGCTTCTGAAGTGAGCAGTGGAATAAGTATTAAAATTATTCTGAAACATGCATGCAAGATTGGAAGTCAGATTGTTCCTGGATTCTAATGGCAACCTATTACTGTTGTCTAATTATCTTGTAACATTAATAACATTTTATTATTTTAACTGTCACTTTTTATTTGAGAGACTTTTGAAATTCATTGATTAAAACACAAAAGACTTGGAGTAAAACATTGTCTGCAATCATAAATTTGTTAAACAGATATTGTTAGCGTAACAGGACGTAAAACTTACTTGAGGTCAGCTTATGATGTTAACTGAAAAATAACCTTTACTCAGCTTAAACCTAAAGTGATAAGAATTGCCACAGCAAAGAGGCTTGGCCAGCGTATTTATATTTGTGCAATCTCACCAGGCTCAATATTGTTAGTTGGCTGGCCTACTAGATCTCCCTAAAATTTTAAATGGTCAATTCTGCCCCATAAATAGAAGCTCAGGACAAGTCCATATAAGAAATTTCAGCAGGGTATAATTTGGTTAAAATGCTTTGAGT